AAAGCAATATTCCATAATTTGCTGTGTATAAGAAACACATTTGAAACATAAAAAATTCTTATCAAGACCTGGAGGAAATTCTACGAAACAGGGTGGAGGAAGGGAAAGGAGGAGAGTTGTAATCATAATCTCAGAAAAGACAACAGAAAAAATAGACTTAATTAAGAAACAGGGAAATTACATTTTGCTGAAAGATATGTAGAATTGTAAATTGATTCCTCACTTTATTTTGTATTATTTGTCATCTTAATTTACCATGTATTAATGATCAAGTTGCTATGTATTAGTTATTCTCTCTTAATTGTGAACTTGAACTCTGTCTGAACTCCATGAGTTTGTAGCTATTAATTTCCTTTGCAACGTAAGCCGCCCTCTACTCACTAAGTTCCCTTTCTCAGGAGTTTCCAGCCACAGGGGTCTCATTTATATCCTAATCTGTTAGAATTTGTGAGCATGTAAACTGCACGTATCCTGTTCTCCCTCAGTAATTGCCAACCACGGGACTTCCCAAAGGGATGTTAGTCCACCTGGTGATAAACTGAAGTAAATTGTGGTTAAGTGACCTTAGCACTGACCAATCAGAAGTGAGATATGCCTCTGTTGTGCCAGATTGATGTCACTGTCTGTTTTCTTCTGTGTAACTGTAAAATAACTGCCTTGATTGTCAGATGGATCCTTGGCTGTTGAGGAGCCTTGGATCCCATTTATTGGCAATTGCTAACTTTGCTAATAAATTGATCGTGCTTAGACCTCTGTGCCTCAGTCTCTCTTTATCACAGATTTTTATTGCGACAGCTACTGTAGACAATGAATCTATAGTAGTTAATATAATATTTAAAGGAAATACTTAACAAGTTACAAGGAGAACTAGATAATAAAACTATAATAGTGAAGGAATCTCAGTGTACCATGTTCAGAACTAGACAAAAAGTTAATGAGAAAGTTGTCTGTGAATAGAATTTTAGAAAAATTAGATATCATAGATTTTTTATTTTTCACTTATGTAAATTGACCCTGGATTAAGCCATGAAAATCTCACAGACATGCAAAAATATTAAAAACAATCTTTAGTCAATAGAGTCATTGAAGAAAGAATTACATATTAATTGGAGACTAAATAATGCCATCCTAAACGGTAGTGGGATGGTGTCAAAGAGCAAAGTACAGAAATGACAATTTCATTAAAGATAACAATAAGACAAGATACCAAAATTTGGAGGATGTCTGGGCAGTACTTAAGGAAAAATTTGTGTATCTAAATATTTTCAACCAAGGAGAAAAATTGGGGGTGCATTTAAAAAAAACCTAGAAAACGTTTTTAAAACCTTAATTAAACTCCAAAACAAAAATCCCTAAAACAAGGTTAATAACATTGAAAGCTTAAAAATTGAATTAATAAAAATTGGGGCTTTTTTTTTTGAGAGGGAAAACAAAATATTGATTAACTATTGGACTAATTTTGTTTTTAAACAGAAAGAGAAAAACCAAATTATAAGTATTGAAATGAAAATGGAGAAATCAAAATAAATGAAAAAGAAATGAAGGATATTATTAGAAACTTTTGTTTAAAAATTTTTGTGTAGAAGATTATGTGCAAATCAAACTGACAAATGAAATAGATGAGCATTTGCAAAAATATGAAATATACAGATTAAACAACTCAGCTTAGAAAAAGAAACTGAAGCCAAAAATAAAGTCCTGAAGGAAAAAACCCTGGGACCAAGTGGATTTACAAGGAGGGGGAAAAAAAGATTTTTTTTTAAAAGAATCAAAGAACAATTCCAGTAATTCAATTGGAACATTTCTAATATTTGCAAGCGAACTGTGAAAATAAAAAATAATCTTACCAAATTCTCTCTCTGATACAAATATGGTCTTAATTGTTAAGCCAGGGAAAGTCAAAACAGAAAAATAAAGCTGTAAATCAATATCGCTAATAATGCTGCAATATTTTCAAATAAAATTATCACAGAGACTATAGCTTCATATCAAGAAGATTGTACACTATGATCAAATTGAATTTATTCCAAGAATACAAGGCTGGTTTAGTATTAGGAAAGCTATAAAAATAATTGACCATATATTAATAACAACAACAAAAATCACATGATTATATCAGTGGTTGCTGAAAAAGCTTTTGGCAAACTGCATCTATTTCTGGTGGGTTTTTTTTTAAACATTAGGAAATATACAGACCTTTCCTTAACATAGTAAGTTGTATCTATCTAATACCAAAAGCTAGCATTATATGTAATGAGGATAAATTAGTGGGGGCTTTTCCAATAAGATAGGGGTAAATCAAGAATGTCCACTGTTACTACTGTTTGACAAAACGCTAGAAAGGCTAGCTATAGCATTAAGACAAGAAAGATACATCAAGGGAATAAGCATAGGCAAGGAAGAATCAGAGGATATTGATATTATGGTGTACTTAGGGAGCCCTATAAAGAGGCAACTAAAAATATAATGGAAACAATAACTTAAGCAATGTTGCCGAATACAAAAAAACCTCCACATAAATATTTGGCAATTTTGTAAGTTACCAACAAAACTCAGCAGAATGAAAAAAAGAACAATTTTAAAATAAATACAGAATGTAAAATATACTCAGGAAGTCTGCTTACTAAGATATACATAGGAAATAGAAGAATACAACAAAACACTCTACAGAAAAAGACCTAGATATTTGGAGAGAGAGCCATTGTGTGTGGTTATCCCAAGCCAATGCATTAAAAATTGTAATACTGCCTAAGTTAATTTACTTATTTGACTCCCAAGTGATTCATGTCATGGAACTAGAAAAAGTAGTAACTAAAATTTTTTGAACTTTACCACAAAGCAGTGATCATCAAAAACCATTTGATACTAGTTAAGAAATAGAGAAATTGGTCAATAGGACAGATTAAGCGCATAAAGACAGAAACAAATAAACATAGTAGCATAGTGTATAATAATCAAGAAACTCCAACTCCTGCAGTAAGGACTTTCAGCAAAAACTGTTGGGAAAACAGAAAAGCAGTCTGGTAGAAACTAGTTATAGACCAGCATCTCACCATAAACCAAGTGAGGGTCCAAATGGTTACATAACTTAGACATAAAAGTTAACATTATAAACAACTAGACCAGCAAGGAGAATCTAGATTTCACGGAAATCTGTGACTATGAGAAGAGTTAATGGCCAAAAGAAAGGATGGGGAGAGGATCATAGAACATAAAAGAGAGAATTTTGATTAGATAAAATTTAAGTCTTTTACTGAAACAAAATGAGTATAGGTATCATTAGAAGGAAAGCAGCTAACTTGGGGGATGGAAGGAACCTTTGCAACAAGTTTTGCTGTTAAGGATTCCATTCTCAAGATATATGAGCAGCTGTTTTCAAATCTGTAAGAATCCAAGCCATTCTCCAGTTGATAAATGATGAAATATATGAGCAGGCAGTTTTCAAAGGAAGAAATTCAGTATATTAAAAGCTGTATAAAAAAATGCTCCAAATCACTCATAATTGGAGAAATGCACAGTGAAGCATCTCTGAGGTTGTACTTCACAACTATCAGTTCAGAAAAGTTGACAAAAAAAGTAAAAAATGATAAATGTTGAAGGGGTTATGGAAAAACAGACACTTTAATAAATTGTTGTTGAAACTGTGGATCAGTCCAGCTATTCTGGAAGGCAGGTTAGAATTGTGACTCAAAAGTTATTAAACTCTGCATTCCCTCTCACCCAGTGATGTCCCTAACAGGCCTAACCCCAGAAATATTAACCAGAGCAAAACCTCCTGTGAATTAGGTTGCTTTTTAAATCATATTAACAGTAGCAAATGAACAAATTTCTCCAGGATAAGACATGAGTAGTTGCAGTCTGATATAGTAGAGAGCATACCTACAGTAATGAGATTGATGATTCATTTAAGTGTCCCAATTCTGCTACCTCTGTCATCCTGGACAGGTCTGCTAGCCTGTGGGCCTTATTTTCCTCATTTGTAAAATGAGGGAGTTGGATGAGATGGTCTTTTGGTCTTCCCTCTCACAGGGTGGACATGGCATACTGCTCCTTTGCTCAGTGCTGGCCAGGATGCTTACTTGGCCCCAAGAGGGCAGGGGTAACCACCATCTCATTTACCCACAAACTTAGCTGCTTTTCCATTTTTTCAGTACCCTTGAGAGGTTACTTGAACACTTTCTGGAGCAGATTCATGAACACTTTTAGAAATACCTCCTTTTTGCAGATATAAACTTGCCACACCATACTTCTCATTTTTTTTCTCTACTGTACATAGCTGCAAATGCACTTAGTTGCCAACACAAAAGTGAAAATGCGATTACTAATAAAAATCATGAGATTGAAGTTGAAAAAGTTAAATATGTGAATGTTGAGGATTGACTGTATTTTATACTTTAAAACTTAGTCATTGGTGTGTGGGAGCTCTAGATTAACAGGAATAATTCGTAGCATATTGTCTTATATCTAATAGTCATTCAATGATTGAATTAATTTGATTGGATTTGGTTGATCAAAATATTTTTTATCTCTGTCTGGATAAAAGCAAATTTATTGTTACTTCTTGGGTAACAAGTGTAATAATGCTAACTTCATGTATTCCAAAATACCTCTTTAAATGTTAAAAGAGCTAAGTGTTACCTGTGTGTTTAGATAGTTCACTGTATCTATAGATATCAATATCTTCTTAAATAATTAATAAAAATTTTAACCTAAACTTGTCTAAGCTAGTCAGTCCTCAGTGTATGATAAAACATCCTCTTGATCTAATCAAGTAGGCTCCTTTTGTTGAATCGTAAGAATTGATATTTATTAAACTTCATTTGTTTTAAGCTTAGTTTGCCCTTTAATCTCAACAGTGGAATTAAATTCTTTTCTGGGTAAAACAAGTTTTTTAAGTTTGTTAAATATGTTATCTTATATTTCCAGTAAGAATCCAGATAGGAAATTAATTTTGGATCCTTATAGTGTGATAAGATAAAAGATCTTGTCTTTATTTTTAGATCCCAACTTGGATATTGGATCTGGGCACGATACATGTGGAGAAACATCTTCAGAGAGCTACAGTTCTCCTTCTAGCCCACGGCATGATGGGAGGGAAAGCTTTGAAAGTGAAGAAGAAAAAGACAGAGGTTGGATTTGTGGCATGTGTGTCTTGTCTCTTAAAACGGAAACCTGATTGTACATGTAAATAAAAGTTATGGGTTTGTTTTTTCTTACTTTTTTTTTAAACAGTCTGAAGCTCTTGGAAGAAATAGAGGCAGTCTGGAAAAGACTGCCTCTATCAAAATTGGGCTTAGTTTTTTACTGTTTAGTCAATATTTAAGAGTCTAAAACATTCTGAAGCACTTGTATTTTCCTAAACATGTCTGTAGTCATCTTTAGTTTAATTGATTTATTGAACTTCATATTCTTCTCCTCCAATTGTGGATTCTCTTTGAGCATATTGCTTTAATAGTTAGTAGTAAAGTTGCTTATTTTATTATCTTATATATAATCTTTAAAATCTTGCTGATTTTAGAATCTAATATACATTTGTATATGTGATGAAGATGAACAGGAAGAAAGGGTTACCACAGAAGGTAGTGTCAGAAGATACTTGAGGAAATGTGAGAGAATGTGTAATTAATTATTCTCATAACTTGGTTAATATTGGATTGGTTGCATCAATCTGGTGTACCCATTGTCTCTGGGTTCAGAATCTCCTATAAACAAACATTTACCTTCAGATAGATAAAAATACAGTGAAATCTAGATTTCAGCTGTCAAGTCTGATATGGATTTTTCATGTGCAACCTAAAATTTTTCAGTACCCTAATTTTCTACATTCTACAAAGCAATGAAACTGATTTTGTACATTTACTCCTATACGACTAAGATCACTTTAGTTTATCAAAACAGATACTAAATATTATAATAGTTTTTAGAGGACATGTAATAGTTTTGGCTAATGGTGACTGCCTATCTGTATCCTTAGTCTTAAGGTCCTACTACGTGGATATTAACTCTTGTAGTAACTTTTGCCACTTTTTAGACATCTCCCTATACTGCAGACTATATTGGGTAGCCTGCTCATTTGAATATTTTTCTCTTTTTGCCCTTGGTGGGGGGGGGCACCTCTTTACTCTGGAGCCAACCTGTCTGGTTGGCAGACAGGACTTTTACTAGAGGAAAGACAGATCAAAGAAAGCTTATCCAAAGTCAGAGTCTGTGAGTCATGTGATGGGTGGGTTTGAACAGGGATAGGCAAACAGTGTGGGCAGTTAAACCAAGAGGGTAAATTTGAGGGCAGTGCTGTAATTCCAGCCATCTGAGGTTCCACAATGGACATTTAGCTGCCTGCCTACAAATGGTCTACCCCTCATTCGCCTCTCCCCCCCATCTTTGGGGTTAAAACATACATTTCTGTACTTAAGTATTAATATAATGACAACTGACACATTTTACTTTAAGGATTAAGAAGCACTTTTATACGTTTTCATTTGAGCCTCATGAGAATGCTCTGCAGTAGATACTACAGGCAGTATACACATTTTACAGGTGAGGCAACTAAGGCTCAGAGAGGTTGTAACTTGTGCATGGTTACCCAACTAAGTAGGAAGTGTTGGAGGTAGGATTTGAACCCATATCTTCTGACCCTGTAGCCATTATGCCACACTGCCACTCACTTCAAGAATCAGTGATTTCATAGATCTGGATATTTCCTTGACTGATGCAGATTGAAACTTTAATAGAGTACAAATACAGCCTCAAAAATCATAATGTGCTATGTGTATTCTGTAGGTACCAAGCAATTGGATCTTTTGTTTTTCCTCCAAAATTGAGCAAGAAAAAACTTGTAACTAAATCAACCAGGAAAGATTTTACCTTTGCAATAATTTCACCTGTGGTGGTTTTTCTTTTATAATTTAACATCTAATTGATACATTATTGAAATTCTACATTGGTTATTGAATACTGTTTTATCTTCCACAAAAGATGATCATTTCTAGTTGATATTTCTTCACTAATTTGAAAGATACAAAAGGTTCACTAGACCAGGTAACTACTTATTTTACAATAATTGTAAAAATAAATAATTTACAATACCTAATATATCCCAACTTATATTTATGCACAGAAAGCCTGTAAAGTAGTCTCTTTATAAGTGATGTGCTTGCACAAAAGTCTATGTAGTATAGAAGTTGAAGGAAATAGTTTGAGGAAATGGGTGTTTAGAGTCTGAATTGGGTTTCACCTTTCTTTCCATTTAACAGTAAAGGTTAGGAGCCAAATTACAGAATGTTAGTATCAGCATTTTAAATGTGCTAATGTATTCTAAATAGAGAAAAATTAGATTTGATGAATCTACTATCATATTTTTGTTTCTCTTGTCTTGGACTATAGAAATACATTATAATTCACTCTGGTTCTCACATACTAATCAACTGCCATTTTTTATTTTAAAAGTCAAAAAGACAGCTTCCTCTCTTCCAATTGAAATTTCAGTTGTGGGAAACATTCCATTCCAAAATTCATTCTGCTACTTTCTAAGAAACTACTTTCAAAGAAACTCAAAATTTGAGCTAAATACATTACTTGATTTTGTTCTATTTTAGTGGTAGTTTCTGTTTAACTATAATATGATATAGCTATGACTGACATTTAGCAATGCAAAATGGAAATCAAGTGGAGTTTTTCTATGTTGATGCAAATTTAAGTACGTACATAGTTTTGGACCTTTATGAATAGTGTTTTGCTAACAGATTGTTATTTTGTGAGATTTATTCTTGGTGCAGTTGCTGGTTGGCCTGAGTTTTTGCCTATTCTCTATTTTTAAAGTCATTATTCTTTGACGTGAATGGAGGGGGAAAAACCCTTAGGTTGGGAGAAGGGATCAGTTCTTTTACAATTCAAAACTCAGACTTTAGTTTATGACATACTAAACTAATATTTAAAATGAGACATTAAAGTAATGCTTATCTTTTAATTTTTACTTATTTATTTCCATTAGACACAGACAGCAATTCTGAGGATTCAGGGAATCCAACTACAACCAGGTTTACAGGTTATGGCAATGTCAACCCATCTACTGTCAATGTCCAACCACCTGCTCAGATTTCTTCAATAGGAAATGAGAATGGAAGTATTTCAGAGGATCCTTTAACCCCTTCTAAGTATCAACACATTTCACCTACGCCTGCCTTACACTGTGTTACGTACGGTGGTGCACAGAAGTCTGAAGTTGTTGTCCCTCCACCCAAAACTGCTGATGGCAAAGCCATGGGGATGCTTGTTACTAGTCCAGTTGCTATTTCTGCAATACGAGAATCTACAAATTCAACGCCAGTTGGAATATTAGGACCAACAGCTGCTTCTGGAGAATCAGAAAAACGTCTTGAGCTCTTGACTTCCCCTTTACCTGTACCATCCCCTTTCCTTCCACATACTGTCCAGCCTGGGAGTCCTGCTTTGCATTTGGCAATACACAGGCTAAAAATACCATCTCCACAGGGACCTTCAGAGAGTTGCACAGTAAATGTTCCACAGCAGCCTACTGGAAACTTGAGCATTGGATCACCAAACACTGCCTTTATTCCAGTCCACAACCCAGGTAGTTTTCCAGGATCTCCAGTTGCTACCACAGATCCCATCACAAAGTCTGCATCCCAAGTGGTAGGACTGAATCAAATGGTGCCTCAAGTTGAGGGAAACACAGGGACAATCCCTCAGCCTACCAATGTAAAGGTAGTTCTTCCTCCTGCTAGCCTCTCTGCAGCAGCACAGCCACCAGCTTCCTATACTTTACCAGGCTCTCCCCTTTCTGGTAGTGTGTTACCTAACCAGAATACAAATGTGCTAAACACAGCAGCACCATCAACTCAATCAGCTAGTACAGGGGTCAGTCAGGTCCAGTCTTCTATTCCTCCTGCAGTTCCTACCCATACACCAGGCCCTGCTCCTAGCCCAAGCCCTGCTTTAACACACAGTACTGCACAGAGTGACAGCACATCTTACATAAATGCTGTGGGAAATACTAACACTAATGGGACACTATTACCCCCACAGCAAGTAGGGTCAGGGCCTTGTGGTTCCTGTGGACGAAGGTGCAGCTGTGGGACCAATGGAAACCTTCAAATAAATGGTTACTTTTATCCTAATCCAATGCCTGGACCAATGTATAGAGTTCCATCGTTCTTTACTCTGCCATCTCTTTGCAATGGCAGCTACCTCAACCAAGCACATCAGAGCAATGGAACCCAGCTCCCCTTTTTTCTGCCTCAGACTCCATATGCAAATGGACTGATGCATGACCCAGTAATGGGGAACCAAGCCAACTATGGCATGCAGCAGATGGCAGGATTCGGGAGATTCTACCCTGTATATCCAGCACCTAATGTAGTTGCCAACTCAAATGGATCAGGGCCCAAGAAGAATGGGAATGTTTCATGTTACAATTGTGGTGTAAGCGGACACTATGCGCAGGACTGTAAGCAGTCATCAATGGAGGCCAATCAACAAGGTAATCATGATAACTCCCAAAGGACTTGTTTTTGAGCTTACCAATTTACCTTGATCATGGTGATTCTGTTATGGCAAAAAGATGTGTCTGTGTGTCTTTTGTGTATGTTGTGTATTAGTGGTGAAGTAGAAAATGAACATTTCAGAATAGCTCATTTAATTACCCAGGCAGGTTACTCAGAACACAGTGAAGTTCATAGAGACTTAGTTTGCAGATGATGAATTAGAACATCAGGGCTTTTAAGCAAAAGCCTTGTATGTTTTCATTAGATATTAGCATTCACAAATAAGAGTGAGGACTTTCATTCTGTAATGTAAGGTCTCATCACAATACATTTTTTTTGTTTTTTGAACAAGGTCTTGTAAATTATGTTTTTCTTAAATAGTGAGCAAAAATTTTAAATATTAAAGAATTAGAAAATAGTCTAGCCATCCAATTATGTTTATAAAATAACTATTTAGGATATCTATGCACAACCAGCCAGCCTCATTCATCAACTCCCAGCAAAGATAAGGTGGATTCATCTCCAAGATTCGACTACATTTGTAGAAACAAGATATTAGAGCAGTGACTTGGAGATGAGTGAATGTGAATTAAATTTAATACAACCAAAGGGAGCAAAAAACAAAACAAAACAATCCTTAGAGTATTTGTATGAGCGGAACATTGGATGCAATGTTCTCAAATTCTTCTCAACACTACACTCACATTGGCCTTTGTCATTTTGCCAAATCTTAACAGGAAAGACCAGTCTTGATATTTGGTGTATTTATTTCAGCCTTTCTTTTTTTTTGGAAGATGAAATTCTACGTCATTTTAGATTGGACTTCTTAAAGCACAAACTTCATAGTAATGGATTTCTTAGGTAGTTTTATTTACCATTTTGGAACTTAACTAGTGCTGAAGAAAGTGCCTTCTGAAGAGCATGTCCATTTGATATCTTGTAGTGATTTGTAATCCATTTCATTGTAAGCAGTGACTTAGCAGTTCTGTCTTTCCTGTTTTAGGCACTTACAGACTGAGATACGCACCTCCCCCTCCCCCCTTCTAATGATACGTTGGATTCTGCAGACTGAAACAAGTAAACATTGCCTCTTAATACACTGAAGCTTGGGGAAAGTGGGAGTGGGAGGGTGAGGAGGGGAAGGAAAGTTGTTTTTTTTTTTTGTCTTGCCTTTATATTTCCCCGGATTTCTATGCAGTTGGGGTTTTTCATTTCTCTTGCATCAATGTTCCAAAACAAAAGAAGAATACTTTTGAGCCTCTGGTCTCCTGGTTCAACAACAGGCTTGTATGATACATGTAATTAAACACACAGCCAAACTATCAAAGGAAAGCATTGAAACGTACTTTTTACACTGAAGACTTGATACGTGCAATGTTTACTGCATCTTTTAAAATGTCATATTTAACCTTTGACAACACTGGTAACGTAGTCATATGGTTAAAAACAGAACTTGTTCCCACTCCACACTCTTTTTCCCCGTACATACCCTTCCAGTTTTCTCCCTGTACTGCTGCTTTTCCCTCTCCCACCCTCACTTTGTCCACATGCTACATTGGCCTGCATGAGTAATCTGCAGTTTATATTTGTCCACACTTTTGTAAATTGCTACGCTCATAAATTGAGGGTAAAATGTTTCCTCTTACTCTTAGGAGAGAAATCAGATTCACAGAATAGTGTGTGTGTGTGTGTGTGTGTATATGTAACAAATAGTATAATATACATATATGCAGCACTTGTGTGTCCAAAGCAAATTAAAATACACGGAAGAAAGGGGAGGAGGTAAAAAAACTTATGAACTTGTTAAAAATATGAAAATGGACAAGAGCTTTCTTTTTAAATGGGGGGGAAAAACCTTTTTACTTCCAATAAAAACTTTTAGCCTGTTGATTCAGAGAGGCACAAAGTGAACAAAATGGTGTGAATGTTGTATTCCTGTGTGTTTGCATTTGTAATGAAAGTTGACAGCCTGTTTTCTTTTTTGAAGTTAGTCTGCTACCGTGTCATACTAAAATGGACACGTTACTTGAGTAAATTTTTTTCCTCTACATACTGTTACAGTGTTTCCTTATATTTAGAATGTAAGTGGTTTATTTCAATCTGAACAGAAGCGGTTTTCTACAAAAAAAGTCAGGTATTAGTATTATAACCTGTCTCTCGTAGCAAAATCACTATTTTATAGCAGTTTACCACTACACGTGATTGTAATGTGAAAGACTGAATTTTGAGTGTAAGATGGTATTAATCATGTAAGTGTCATGTCACTAAGTTTAATGCTGCTGTTTTGTGTTTTTTTTTAAAGCCAATCTATGTACTAAATTGCTTCCAGGTATTTTTTGATTTCCTAAAGTGCACTGAGGTTATCTGGAAGATTAGAGTGTATTTTGATGACTGCTGCATTCAACAGCAACGAACAACTACCACTGTATATTCATAGGTTTTTTGTTTGTTTTTTTTAATTCCTTAGTTGATAGCAGGAATAAGAGGTTTTCTTTTTAAGGAGTGTGATATCAGAATGCAGCAGAGGAACTTAAATGTTTGGTCTTGAGTCAGACGCCTAACAAATTGCTAAACACAAGGAAAAACTTGAAGAAGAAAAAAAAAGAAGCTTAATTTAATGCTTCATAGGTAGCATCTATATTTATAGCACCAGTGTACATTTTGAAACTTTCTTTCAGGGGTGGGAGGGCAGGGGAAGGGAGTGGGTGGGCCTGAAGGGGGTAGATGAAAGCTTTAATTTAAAAATTAAAAAAAAAAGTTTTAGTAAAGGAAATTATTTTGATTAAAAATATTTTATTTGATCTGGGTATTTTTGGACCACTTTATTAAATGAATTGCTAAACTGCGGTTGAGTTGTTCAAGTGAGAGTTTTGATAAGCAACACATGGACCTGCATTGTGAATTACCTGCCAGTTGTACTTTATGGAGCTTATTTTATGATTTAAAATACTGTACTGTAAATAGGAGGTACGTTACCTTCTCTTTATTTGTATGTTTACCATATACTTTGATATTTGAAATGTTATGTACTGGAAAGGTCACTTATATTTCTAGAACAGATTGGATTTTATGCAATCTTTTTTCCTTGAATTAACAGCAATAAAAAATGAAAAACAAATTCTCATAAGTATTTTTCCTTTATTACTAATTATACTGAAAATCCTAAGTAAGATAGAATACCATTTACCTTATTCTGGGTTTTTCTAAGTCAAGACTACATGGCTGATGTTGGAGATAACTTTCAATGATATCTAACCACTACAGTGATGAATCTAATCTAGCTGGCCTTTTCGTGTCATATTTCCAACTAATTTTATTTTCTTGGGCTTTATTGGGTGAGTGACAGCCAAAGAAAATTAATTTGTATTTGTTAAATTAAGACCATTAAGTGCTCTTCCAGAATATCAAAGCTTATATTTTGCCCCATGAAGACAGAAAAGCCATTTTTGTAGGCCTTTTACACAGAAGTCAGAGAATTTAGCTGAATTTTCCAGTTTTGGCAGCCAGTGAATTGTTTTGTTAGCCTAGTGAAAAATTAGAGGGCAGCTAGATGGCACAGTGGATAGAGCACCAGCTCTGCAGTCAGGAGGATCTGAGTTCAAATTTGACCTCAGACACTTGACACTTACTAGCTGTGTAACCCTGGGCAAGTCACTTAACCCCAATTGCCTTGCCAAAAAAAAAAAAAAAAGAAAGAAAGAAAAATTAGTGATTTTTTTTCCTTTTTTTTTTTTTACAAAATCATTTCTAGCCCCTAGTTTGAAATCACTATTTTTAAGTGACCCATATGAATTGTAGGAGATGGACTCTTAGATTGCCCCCAGAATAAATCATGAGCCACCATGGGAAGTAGTAGGAATTAACCTCAGTAGCAACAGACCATTAAAAGTCTTTGCTTTGATAGTCTAGCAGAAATGATAAATATGTTATTGGTATAATAGGGGACATTTTGTATACATACTTACATATCCAGTATAGTCATGCAACAGAAAGAAGTCATGCAACATGAGTATCCTGGATTATGGACCAGGAACACTTCATTATTGGCTGGGTCCCATTATTGTGGTATTTTAGCTTTGTAGTTACCCCTTCTGGTACTGCAATGAATAGGCACTCACTGATCTGTACTGCAGAGCAGAGGATTAAACTCAAGGTAACTGCCAAGCGAAACAAATCAAATCTTTTGAGTACTGTTGAGCCAAATTAAACTGTAATTGGCAAGTGTTTAACCAAATAAATTTAAAATGTAGTAGAACACAGATAATGTTAATTTGTGATTTTCTAAGTCAAGGGAATCTGTCTCTGTTTAATAGCATTCAGTAGCATCAGTTACATTTTAATCTGTTTCAGATGGTGGACTGCTGCCTGCGAGTTTAACACCTCTGCTCTAGGGTATGGGGACTGATACTGAGTGCCCAGTTTTTACATTAGCCTGTATTGTATCCAGGGAAACATTTTGAATGATATAGAAGAGTTGAGCGCCATCATAAAGTTACAACCCAGAGTTAGAAATTCAGAGAGAAGAAAGATGAGTATTTTGTTCCTTTGGATGTTTAACTATTTGACATTTCACTTTTCATTTTCATAACTATAAAATTTGCTGTAAATTTGGTACACCAAAGTTTAATGAAATGGCCTATAGTGACATGAAAGCAATATGTTTTTCAATAAGCACATTTCATTTCATTGCCCTGAAATCTCTGGTTCAGAGCCAATAATTCACCTTTTTATCGATATTAAATTCCGTTGAACAATTATTTGGCTAGCTCTTATGTGCCTAGAACTCTTTGGCATCCCAAAGAAGTATGTTTTACATAGGTTATGCCTTCAACAGACCTTACGTTGGGTGAGACAGTGCTTAAGCAAATAGGCATGAAAACAATGAACAAATGACAAAATGCAGAATTGCTTATAATCATGCAAGAATTCACGTTGCAAACTTCTCAATCATCAGGAGATAAATCAGTAGTTGGCAAGGTAGGCAGGTTGTTGGGCAAGGTTTAGTGAAGGAAATGGGCCTTGATATTGGCCCTGAATAACCAGTATGTGGATAGACACGTGCAGGAAGGATAGTCCGTGGAAAGAGAATAGTGAGTGGAGTTCACAAGAGCACAAAGATGAGAATAAGTGGCAAATTTGGCTAGAGCAGAGGATACATTAAGAGTAGGAGATCAGATTGACTAGATAAATTATGAGGGGTCTTGCATGTTAGGATAAGATGTGTTAGAGTCCATCGAAAGCACTTTTTAAGCTCTCAAATAGGGGAGTGACGTTTTGAAGATGATGTTCTAGGAAGACTAGCAGCTATGTGCAGGATACAGTTGAGAAATAGGGCAGACACTTAAAACAAAGAGACTGCTAGACTAGCTGTTAGTTGTGCAAATGTGAGGTCCTAGACCAGAGGAATAATGTGGAAATACAGGCAACAGTATGAACAATATACAGAACTTGCATAGAGAGATACTTTAAGCTGGATTGATTAGGAGAATCAATAGTGAGGCTGTTAAGAGGGAAGCTGGGAAAAGAGGGTTGTTCAGTTGTGTCTGACCTCATGACCCCATTTGGAATTTTCTTGGCAAAGATATTGGAGTGGTTTGCCATTTCCTCCTCCAGCTCCTTTTACAGATTAGGAAATTGAAATGAGCAGGGTTAAGTGACTTGCATAGAGTCACACAGCTAGTAAGTGTATGAAGCTGGATTTGAACTCAGGAAGATGTCTTCTTGACTTTAGTGTTCTATCCACTGTACCACCTAGCTGCCCACATTAGCTTAGAAGAAATGATGATTCAGTTGGATAGTGAAGGACCTAATTTTTAGAACCAAATTAAAAATTTCTTCCTGCTTCTACTTGTGAATCAGACAGAGTCATATCTTTCCCTTAATAGGTATAGCATGTTCTTAAATATAGTTGACTGTGTAGTCAGCTCTTTACAAGTCTTTTTTCCCCCCAGTCCTGGTTTGGTTTTGGTTTTAGCTTTATTATAAACTTGTATATAATCTTTCAGTATACCAAAAAAACCAAACCCACACACACATGAGAAAGGATTATATATGCATGTGTGAACTTTTATTAGTTTTATAACTCTGCTAAATATTTTGTGGCAATAAAATTCAGCGCGTCATGATTTCTTCTCCTTAGCCTTCCCTGTTCCTCTTACAGCCACCATTCTCCCAGCTGCACATGTTCTGAACCTTACCATCATCCCTGATTTCATTATCCCCAGCTCATCTTGATT